TGTATTCACCATACCGAACAGCAGCAGTTTGCTCCAACAGGTCTTGTTCATTTTTGGTCGCTGATCGCATCTTTTTGCGTACTACTCACTTGTGAGTAGTAAGCTTTGGTGACTGAGCTATCGTCAATGTCCAAGCAAATACGTTGATTGAGCATGACCCAAGATTCACTTGATGAACTGTGCCCTAGCTCTAGAACGCACGAAACAGTGCGTCATCGAGTCGGGTCCAGGTTGGCGTATAGCACACGGCTTCACTGACCCGCCGAATTGACGTCCGTCTGCGAGCTCGACAAAGTGCACGACTGAGGTTTGCTTCATTTCGACACAGAGTGTGGGAAGACAGGTGGTCAATCCGGGGGGGGGGTAGGAAAAATGTGTGATCAATGGACCAATGAGGTACGCTGAATGCAAGCAGTGTTTCTTTCTCAATTCAACTTGACAGTTTCTCAGTTGAAAGTGATGGTTTCTCGATTCAAAAAGATGGTTTTGCAAACCAAAGTTTGTCAAATGAATCTTTTTAGATGGTGTAGATGCTGTTGCTCACGTTGTTGTTCACTCCTTATTGGGTCTGGCATCGTCCGTTTAACTTTTTTTTTTTTGATTATTCTAATGCTTTCGGATCACGTGACTGCGGCATTCTCATTCAATGTCTTTCGGATTGTGAACCAGGACCTGATTTGTTGAATGTACTAATCGATTGCTTCACTCATAGGACGCAATTCACTTTATGTATAGGTAAATCTCCCCTTCCCCCCCCCCGCCCTTGAAAGAAGTTGACTCTGGGGTTTTTCAGGGTGTTACTATGTCTCCATTTCTTTTTTTCATTGTACGTTACCAACCTTCCCATCCCTCCAAACTTTATCACGTGCAAGTATGCTGATGACCTAGTGGTTGTTTGTCCCTCGATCGATCCTGACTGTTTCCACCAACTTCAAGTTTGTCTAAATCAAATTCGGAGTTGGTCTACGCCCTGATCTTTAATGCGCAATGTCGATAAATGTTCAGATATTTCTTTTAACACTCTGTTAAATATCTTCGAGTAATTTTGTCACGTATCCTTTCTTGGTCCAAACATTTTAAAGAAATTTATATTAAGGTTCTTAGACTCTCCTCTTACGCCTTTAGGCTTAAAAAGCTCAGCGTTTCCCTAAATGCAATTATTAAATTTGTGACCACCTGCACTCTTCCATACCGGTTGTATTCTTACACGGTATTTTTTCCCGGTCTACACGAGGCGGTCTTTATTCGCCTGTCCAGATCTCGTAAACTTCTTTCCCGCATTTTGATGCATGCGATAGGTTTATTAATCATATACTGTCCAATGAAGAACACTGCCTGCACACCCAACTCAACAAATCGGTGTCTTATCCGAGTACGCGTTCCAAATTTCGGATTCTCTGTGCTCTCACCATCATATATAAGAACACCACCATCCCTTACTTTGCTCGTACCTTAGTCAACCGAATAAATAGCATTACTAATTTGGAAAATCGCCCCTTGTGTCGTAGAGATAGAACCTTACACATCGACACATTGAATTTGGGTATCGTTCAAAAGAGGCCACGGGTGAGCTGCTCTCAGCGTTCCATTGAGTGCCAGCGAGCCAGCTAGTTTCATCACTGTATTCCAAATTTTGGCGTCTTCTACAAA